CTTTGATTGTGAAATGTGATTCAGAAGAAAGGAAATGGTTAAAAGAGAGGCAGGGAAGCCATTTTTTTTGTTTGTTTAGTCACGAAGTCATGCCCGACCCATCACAACCCCATGGACAACATTCCTTCAGGCTCTCCTGCCCTCTACCATCCCTCGGAGTCCACCCAAGCCCACACCCGCCCCCCAATCTAGCCACCTCAACCTCTGCCATCCTCTTCTCCTTTTCCCATCAATCATTCTCAGCTTCAGGGTATTCTCCAGTGAGTTGTTCCTTCTCATTAGGTGATATTTGAGTTTCATCTTCAGTATCTGACATTTTAAAGAGCAGTCAGGATTGATTCCTTTAAGATTGGCTGGTCTGATCTCTTTGCAGTCCAAGGGACTTGCAGGAGTCTTCTCCAGCACCACAATCAAAGGTGTCAATTTTTTGGCACTCAGCCTTTCTTATGGTCCAACTTTCACACCCATACATTACAACTATAGCGCAATGAAGCTATGAGCAATGCCATGCAGGGGCACCCAAGATAGACTGGTCATAGTAGAGAGCTCTGACAAAAGGAAATGACTTCAGTATCCTTGCCATGAAAACCCCATGGAGGGAAGCCATGGAGAACCTAGAAATGACTCTCAGTCCAGGGAGACAACTCAGTCCTGCCACAGTGTCCCCTGACTATAGCACTGCAAGGGAAAGAGAAGGCAGCAGGAGGAAAACAACCCATGGTGGGTCCAAATGTCTGTTTGGTGCACCACATTCTCCAAAGAAGCAGCACACTGTGGCTTATTCCCAGGATGGTTCAGCATGGAATGCAAACTTGCCTGGTAGAACTTCTGAGTTAACACGTGTGGGATTGCACAATCCTAAATATGTTTACTTGGAAGCATTCAACAGTGGCTACTGTTAGGTAACCGTGAGTAGTGTTTTAGCCTTAACTTTTAGCCTGTTCTTCAGAGCTCATCATTTTGCCATTTTGTAGTTTAGCATTGAAATTATCTGACCTTTTTTTGAATTTGTGGATAGGAGTGTGAAAAAATATTGACAGAGCAAGTGGAATTTTACAATTTCTTTCTTTCCCCACTGCCTGTGTGCCCTTGTAGTAGCACTCAATTCAATTCTGGAAATATCTATATTTTCTATTGTTCTGTAAATTCATACTTAGAGTTTCAGAATTTTTTAATAGACTCTGTCTGTTTGAATGCAATCCTTCCTCTTCAAGCAGTTGACCAAGATTATTTTTTCCAAAGGTAAATAAATCTATCAATAATATATGGGCCTATTTTCTATTCCTCACTCCACCTCACTGTAGGCATATTTTAAAATGTACATTCTCAGTGTCGAGGTTCAAAAGTCAAGTGCTACATCTGATAAATTAGGCAGAGGTCAAAGGCTATACAGTGCAGTTTCAGAGGAATGTCTATTTCTGAATTTGCAGCTCATTCATGCTGAAGTGATGCACTCTGGGAATTACTACCAAACTCTGCTCAGCAACATCTGCTCTCCCTAAGTGAGTTAGTGCACGTCAGACATCTTTATGTCAGAATATTGTGGTGATGGATGCAGTCTTCAGAAAATGCTGCATAAAAATCTGGTGTGCCGTTCTGGCCATTAAGTGAAATTACTATTTAAATTAATGGCGCTGTCACAGTTTATCTGTGCAAAGAATGAACGCTGATTAGGGTATTAAGTAATTAGCAATTTATCACGCTGGAACAAGGTTGATAATAATTAAAGAAGTAATGGTTTACCAAAGAAACTAGAAAGGGAGTCACTTCTTGTTATGTGAGTGAAATCTTGGCTGAAAAATTTTATTCACTGAAACAAAAATGAGGTTCTCACTGAGAGAATGTATAGGGCGAGGAGACTTCTGCCCTGGAATAAAAGCAGTTCGCTATCTAATTTTTGCTTTGCCTGTCAAAGGTGCCTCTGAGCTAAAATGTTTGCATTTGCTTTTTTTTTTAAAAAGTACCCTAAACAATATCTGATATAATTGTGCCACTGGGAGACAGGAAGGGGGAGTTAAACTCTGCCTGGCTCTTTAGGCTTCGAGCCACAACACTTGCCAAAGCGAATGGGATGCAATAGCCTGTTGCAGCTGGCCATCGCTGGGTCCGGCAGCATGTGCTTCTGTTATATGGATGCCTGGAGCATTCTGTTGATGCCAGAATATGAGATGGTGCCCTTACGTTGCAAAGACAACCATTGCTGCATACGGCATTGTGGCCCTATGCAAAGCCTGGCTTTGTGTATTTTTTCCCATTGTGAAAGGTTGCAGGGGCTTTCATCCATCCCAAGGCTTTATTACTGGCAGGAAGAGCTTTCGGCTACTGTGTGTGTGTGTGTGTGTGTGTGTGTGTGTGTGTGTGTGTGTGTGTGCGCGCGCGCGCGCGCGCGCGCGCGCGCGCGTGTGTTTTGCGGGGAGGGGGAGTTATTCCTGCCCTACCAGTTTTGCTCTGGGGCCTAAACAGAACTGAAATGCTCCAAAATTGAACGTAGCTCTAAGGCCAGACCAACACATTTCACTTCCTGAGGTAAACGGCAAGATTGCAATGCCCTGTTCAATGTACTGACGCCAACTGGACTGGCAGCTGACTGGAATGTGAGGGAGGGGCAGCCAGATGACACTCAGCCCTGCCTTTCAATATTTACATACATTTTCTGTTTTGTTAGATTGTTTTTGTTTCCTTTCTTATTCCTTGTCATCCCTGTACTCTCATACTTGCCTGTGACTTTAATGCCACTACGAAAACATCGTATTTTGTGATGTTACATCCCTGTAGGCTTTGTTGTGCTTGATTTTAGAAATGTGCAGGTGGAAGCAACAAATATTAGGATTGGAATGTTAGGGTGGTCCCAGGTGGGTTTTTTCTCCCGAGAGCAGTTGTAAATTGACTCCACAGCTGCCCTACGGAGGCCAGATGGCATCATGCCAAGAAGCCTCTGCTGCAGCAGAGAGCCAGACGGCAGCCTGGCACTATCCTTGTTCAAACTTCTGTCTCCCATCTACTCTGGAGATGTGGAGAGAGAGAGAGAGAGAGAGCACGCAGTGTTGGTTCAGGTACCATTCTTTTTCTACCAAGTGTTTAGGAACCTAGGAAGCTGTCTTATGCCAGATGAGATTATTTATCCATCTAATTCAGTATTGTCTGCTGTACTTGGCAGCTGCTCATTCTCCACGGTCTCTGGCAGAGCAATCTTTTCTCCATCAGCTGCTATTTGATCCTTTGTTCATTTGTTTAACTGGAAATGCCAGGGACTGAACCAGGGACCTTCTGTATGTGCTTTGTCACGGAGATAAGATCCCACTCCTTTGCTTTTCTTGATCTACTTACTTTCTTTCTCTCTCTGACCTCATCTTTACTATTCACTGTGACCCTTCCCTAATTCCTAACTATCAAATTGTGGACCTGCTAAAGCCTTCTGCAAATATTCCTAGCACTGGTATTATCAATGTGCCTGTAGGCTCTTATCCGGTCCCAACCTTCATGCGTCTATGAGATTTTCTTGACAGAGTTTTGACTCAGACCCCCAAATGTATTTGGTTCCAATGTGCAAGATGTAGGAGCTGGGAATTGGACACCTCATATGTATGTTTGTGTGTTTAGCTCTAATGCCTAAGTTCTCTACACAATTAATGCAGGGAAGTGGTGTGTAGGTCCTGTTGCCACAATTCAGTTCCATATATTCCTTGTTCCTAGATGGTTCATTCCTGGCTATTACTGAAATTGCATTATTCCTCTGTTCTGTACAATGCATAAAAATAAATACAGTAGCAGTAGGAATGAAGCAGGGATGCTCCTCATCTGAATTATCCTGGAAATTTGATGATCCATTTTAATGGAAATGTTAGCAGAATAGGAAGCCTGTGTCAGAATCTGTGATTCTGGATTTTGATATCTCTACTAATGAACTTGGCGGAAATATGGGTGGCTGCTTTGTTGCTGCTGCTGTTATGTAATGAAGAATTACATTCTTTATGAAGAAATATTTATTTATTTATTTATTTATTTATTTATGGATTTATATCCTGCCTTTTCCTACAAAGGGATCAAGGCAGCTTACATCTCCTCCTCCATCTTATCCCCACAACAACAATCCTGTGAGGTAGGTTGGGCTGAGAGTCTGTGACTGGCCCAAAGTCACCCAGTTGGCTCCATGGCTGAGCGGGGACTAGAACCCAGATCGTCTGAGTCCCAGTCCCATGCTCTTAACCACTACACCACACTGGCGCTTGTGTGTGTGTGTGTGTGTGTGTGTGTGTGTGTGTGTGTGTGTGTATTTCTTATATATATATTGCACACCCTTTTAAAGCTTTCAGGTATTTTTTTGCCTGTGTTTTTAATTTATTTATTCACAAACTCTATGGTTCAATGCTGGTATCCTTTGAAAAGCAATAAGCATTATTTTCCTTTTAGGAGGAAAAAACATAAATAAACAATTATAAAAACATTCATAATTAAGAAGCAAAACTTTTACTCTTCTTCGGTAAACCCAATACAATATTCTGAAATTCTCTTCTCTTGGCCAGATTCCCATGAGAGTTGAACCCCAGTTCTTCTTCTATGACTGAACTGCAAAATAATACTGATCAAAATTAAGAGAAGCAACTGATTACTAGAACAAAGCTTTTTCTGATGCTTTTATATGAATTTAGTAATGCCAGGTTGCACAGGTTTAAGTGAAAGTGGAAACTACATTTTGTTTTGAAATACAACATGCTTGTATAGTGTGGCAGATTCAGTTGTGAACTGAAGATTTTAACAGCTTTTTTCTGTGGTATACACAGAATGAGTTTGTCACAGCATTGCTGATCACCAGAATTAGCCACTGAACATATCCATTTGGTCATCTTAAATTCAAAATTAAGTACCGCTTTAGATACCTTTTCCCCCAGTATCAGTAGCTGCCTCATTCTGACATTTTTATGCCTCACTTTATAGCATTCTCAGCATTTCCCTCACTTTCTCCCCTTTTAGCATTCATATATAATGTTTTATTGTTGCAGGAATGTTCTGTTGTGGACATGAATATGTGAATATGTCAAGTACCATATGCTGCTCAGCTTCCAGTGGAGAGTCTAAAGCCCACATTAAAAAGAATGACCCAATGCCATTAAAATGCTGCGAGACTGAACTTATTCCAAAAAGTGAGGAATGTTGTAATGGACTTGGATATAATCCTTTGAAATATGTTTGCTCTGACAGGATTTCAGTTGGAATGATGATGAAGGTAATTGATAGAAAACCTCTTGGTGGTTCTGATTTGACAATGGAAAGAGAAATACATTGTTCATAACTATTTTTGTAAAATAGGAATATAAAAACTCCTGTGTGCATTATTCATTTTCACATTACATCCATATTAATACCGAATGAGTTTGCCATGATTGATGTTATTGCAGTGAATTCTAAAGGAATTAATAATGATTAGCTGCTTCTTGTGAAGTGTTGCTCAGCACTTCAGATTAGTGAAGGGATAAAAGTTAGTATTCCAGCCAGGCTGACATATGTGTATCCACCTTCAGTTTTGTGGCCAGTTCTTAATTCCTGCTGGCAATGCTTCAGAGATTCTCAAACTTTGTTGGCTTGTATGGATCACTGTCCTCGTTTATTCTTTGCCATCCACCTAAGCAGGGGGCGGTTTAATATTATGGTTTCCACATCGGAGGCCATCTGAAGAGCATCCAAATTAAAATACAATCGCATGTATGCTCTGGTGCATTTATACTGAATGTGTGGAAGAAAGGTATTTCCAAATGCAGGATAAGCAACACTGGTTGAGGTTACTTTGTGCCATCAGTTGCTTTTTATTAGTGTTACCTCTGGTTTTTTGGGTTTTTTTAGACTTGGGGACATTCAGAAAGTTCCATTAACTACCAGGCACTGCACAGCTGGAAAAAAAAGCTCTTCCATGTTGTGATATTAGAAATGGGAAATGGAATTACTGCATTTTGTATATTTAGCTTCTCACTGATCATCAGAACACCCTGTGCAAACATTTCTAAGGGAGAACAACTTTCAGAAGATGTTCAATGCCAAATCAGTAGCATTTTAAGAAAATAAACAGGCCTCCCATCCATGCCACCACCTTCAATCAGATAGCACAATAACCTATGCTCAAAAATTGAACCAGGTTTGTTGCCATTAGCTGCTGTTGAAACATGAGTAATTGTGCTGTCTGAATACAGATGGTGTATAACAAGCCATGGTGAAGAAACCCCAATGCACAACCCACAAACAAACCATGGGTTCACTTCCTGAGTTGTTCATAGTCTACAAGCCAGAAGCTGTTAGCACAGCTGGGTTCTATTGTCTAACATAATAGTTCACAGTTCAACAACCCATACTCAACCCATACTCACCTTATACTTAAGCCTTGAGTGTGTTATCTTAATGCAATTGGTGAAGGAGGAATCTGATGAGTGTTGTACTCACAAAATATTATTTATTGTTTGTTTGTTTTTAGACTTATTTTTTGCTAGCAGCCTGAGGGCCCTCTAAGCCCATCACAATAAATAAAACATATAAGAACAATAATAGCAACATTTAAAATACAATGTACAAAAGACAATGAAACAAAACAGTACACAGCAGAGGGCAATAATTGAAACTGTACCAACAAACAAGTTAAAATTATCAGCCCAGAGAATAAACCTGTTTTCTCCTGGTCCAAAAAGGCTGTAGGGAGGGTGCCAGGCAAACTGCTTTTGGGAGGCTGTTCTATAGGTGAGACGCAACTACAGAGAAGGCCCCTCTTCTATTAGCCATTCTCCTTACTTCCTTGAATTGGGTTGGTGGCAGTAGGGTGTATGACAGGGTGTTGGTTACATAACCCATCAATCATACTCCCTGGGCAATCTACAAAGAGAATAATAGATTTATAATTAAATGCAGAAAGCATAACTAAACCCCACACAATTGTAAATAGTTCATAAAAATAGCAAGATTAAAGTGTGTCTGAAAAGCCTGGGAAAACAGAGAAAAGGAATATGAAGTGTCTTCAGCTTACCAAAACCCAGACTCAGCTTGTAGTGCAGGCAGATTGTGCGGAGGACTCACATGGGTCGAGGAACCACAGAATATGTGCATGTGCGCATGCATTTATGCTTTATTAGTAGTTTTGTATATCCTTTAATCATATCCCAGAGCAGTTTCCAACAAAGGAATACTACATGTAAAATTAAATAAAACATAATAAACTAAAATCCACAAAACTATAAACACAGCATAAAAAGCAGCAGGATTAAATTTGTAATATAAGGTTCATGTACAAAAATTATGATAAGGTAACAAATTGAAGTGCATGAGAAGTCATATTGTGATGTGCCCTTGAATGTTTGCAAGTGAAAGCTGGATGTACATGTTAGATTAGATAATTTTAAAGCGGCTTAAAGCTTTTGGAACCATTTTTATAGGTAAAAGAAGAATGCCAAGCTAGTACTCTGTGCCCTCTATCCATGGAAGCAACTGCCTACTGTGGACGATGTGACTTTGACAAACATGCTCATATATGTGCTTGGATAAGGACTTCCCAGGGTCATACAGAGAAGAAGGAAAACAACAACGTATGTACAACTTTGGAAGAGACAATCTATACAGGAGGCCCAAATCAATATTCCTTCACAGGTAAAAGAAAATGTGTTATCCCATTTGATTGGTGTATAAGTTTAGAATGTAAATGCCATCAAATGCCTAGGTAAAATCCATTCTTCAAATTTAAGATGCAGTTTGTATTTAGAAAGCTTTTGAAAATAAGTGAATCTGTTTACCAATATTTTGGTGGTAAACTGATATTTTAAAAGTAAGAATATCAAAAAGGCCTTGCTGAGTCAAACCAAGGATAATTCATCAAAACCAGCATCGTGTTTCTAGCAGTGTGGCCATCTAGATCCTTCTGGGAACCAAGTATAGAAAAGGAAGGCAATGGCTGTTTTCTCTCTCTGCCCCAACTGCCTACCTCCCCTACAACTGATAAGCAAAGGAGAATTGTGTGTCACCATCCTGACTGGTAGCCACTGCTAGCCTTCTTCTCCATGACTTTTGAAATCATCCTTTTAAGGCCCTTAATTACTATTGCATCCCGTGGCAACCAATTCCATAAAATATGTAGTTTTAAAATAGGTTAGTTAATCTCATTGGGTAACTTCAATCTCATTCTGAAGGATGGAGGGAAAAAAATCTATTTTTATTTATTTAAATCTTTCTTCACTGCCTTTAAAGACCATAGTCTTCCCAAGGTGCTTTCCATATAAATCTATCCATTTTTTTCACAACACACATAAATCAGTGATGCATTAGCACATTTTGAAGTTGCTGCCTATAGCTATGCCCCAGGGAGAGGACAAAAATGCAGGCATCTATATTGATCTGTATCAACAAACCAATACTAGCAGTTTTCATCTCCACCAGTGGCAGATCTTTATATAAATATGCATTTATTATTCATTGGTTATGCTTATATACTTTTCCTCCAGTAGCTCAAGTCAGGGACCTTGATCCTCCTCTCCATTTGATCCTCACCACAATCGTATGAGCTAAGTTAGCCTGTGAGTCGGTCAGTGCCCCACTGTCTTCAGCAGGCTTCATAGCTGACTGGAAACTAGAACTCAGGTTTACCATTCCAGCAACCTATCCACAACTTCAGGCTGCCTTTAATCCAACAAAAGGTCTTGGCTACCCATTCAGGACCAAGCCGTCCCACCATACTGCGTATTTTTGCATCACACCCTGGATACACACAACTATGCATTGCTGAGCAGAAAATGCATTGCTTTGCCCAGGCTACTGTGAGGAATGCAGCCAAGCTCAGAGGGAGCAGGAAATTCTGAGGCAGGTGGCGAATGACATCAGCATCCTTGCTAATTAAAATTGCCATCACTGAGTCCCTGTGAGCCTGGGCTCAACGACACCTCTGAGCATAATTATGTCTCCACATAGTCACCTTTTTAAAAACAAAATAAGTTTATAGCACAAAACCTTGGCTGAAGCAACGCAAAATGAAACAGAGTGAAAGGTATTATAGATAGTCTAAGTTAAGCCTCTAGGGGGCTGTCTCTGTATAGATCAGTGCAGAACAAAGCAAGCAGTGAAGCAAACAAGAAGCCTGCCTAGTAGAGAAGTTACTACAGAGCTGTGTTCAAGAGTTATCAGTGGGAATTACAGACATGACAAGAGGAGGCTGGCTTTGCAATCCTTAAAGAACATTCAATATCCTAAAAATGATTTATCTCATTAATTAAATTAATGCAAGTTCAGATTGCCTGCAAACTCTGTCAAATTTTCTCTTCTTAGATCTGAACCTAGAACCTTATGTTACATATGAATACAGGGTAGCTGCATGGAACAAACGTGGAAAAGCTGAAAGTGAAACTGGCAGAGCCACTACTAAGCAGGATGTCCCTGAAGGCTTAAATCCACCCCAGTGGACCAAAGTGGACAATCGAGAAGACATCATATTTCTAAGCTGGAAGGAACCTCAACAACCAAATGGTACTTTATAGAAGCATATGATATGATCTGGTATTCGGCTGGCATGAGTGCTTCAGTGACCAATAGGATTTGCTGTAAAATAATAGTTTGATCAAGTGCAGCAGTCTAATATATGTTCCCAAATCAAGAAACAAAAAAGAAAGAAGAAGATTCACTAGTGGGTTTTCTATATACCTCCCATTAGTTTCCAAGCAACCCTGTACACAGAAGACTTAGCACCATAACTTCATTCATTTGGGACTAATCTTTTGCAATGTTTCTCGCCATCAATTGTTTATTCCAGATTAAAATGGAACATGTATATACAGCAACCAAGGCTATTCATAATGACTGTATTTTTACACAAGATAAATATGTTTGAACCAAAATATTTGATTCATATTTTTAGATTTGGGCTGTCTTTAAATCTCAGAATATTGTTCACTAGAAACATCCTGATTGGCCTTTGTTCAGATTAATGAGATTTTTCTTCCTGGTCTCATTTGGATGTTATGCAATGAACCAATTCAGTTATAGGGAAATATGGAAATTATGATAAGATGATGATGATGTTATGCGAATGAGCCACAGTCTGTTGTGTTTCCCCAACTGTGAGGAATAGATTGGTTCTGTTTCCAGTTTAGCATTATGTCTAAAACCTATGTGGTTAAACTCAAGGTTTTATAAAATATGCTGATTTCATAATATCCAGTTTTAAGTTGGTTTGTTTCCATAAACCATAGTTAGTACTAACCAACATTTATCCAGATTGAAACAGCACTTAATTGTGCTTAATTAACAATGGAAGTGAAAGTTTCTGACTTCCCCATGGTCATGCCAAAGGAGAAAAAGAGGAATGGAAAATTTAGCAGCCTGAGGCTCATTCATGAACTGGCAAACCATAGTTTGGGACTGCATTCAAAGCAATGCCAAAAAGTTATTAATTTGAGTGAGGCTTGGATAAGAGACTGTCTTGGTGGTTACCTGTTTGTTTTTCTTTCTCTCTTTCCTAATTTATTGCTACCCCTGCTAGCATGTCGCTGCTAATAATTTCTCCCTAGCAGTATTCAGGGAGAGGCCACTTGTAAAAGAAGTTTAGCCTTTGAATTCCTTGTATATCTTTTATCCAAAAAGGTTGTTTTTCTCTTTATAACAAGGTATCATAATTCATTACATTGTTCTCCGAAATGGAATTGAGCGTTTCAGGGGAAAAGAACTGAGCTTCACAGACACCAGCGGTATTCAACCATATCAGGAATATTCATATCAGTTGCGAGCTTGCACAGTTGCTGGTTGTGCAGACAGCAGCAAGGTGAGTAAACACTGCACAATGTTGGTGGCAGCTGTGGAGAAATCTCACCACAGATGCCTTTTCCTGTTCTTCATCACAGTGCAGCAACTATTCAGCATGGTACTGGAAGATGTAGAGACTTTCAGAGAAGGATGGGATATAAACGCTTGACAGACAGACAGACACTCTCCCTGTCTTCCCTCCCTGTGGGATATTGTTGCTTTTCTTCTTCATGGTTCTTGTGCATCACACATATGGGGTTCTTCACCTGTGCAAACCCTAGATCAGGAAAACTTCAGTAGCTTACCATGCCGGAATGGGTGGAAGCCCCTTCCCTTCTGGTTCCCAGGTGTATAGGAAAGGGGTTCCCACCCAGTCCCTCAATGCCTTTTTGACAGCACATCGCATAGACTGGGAATCCTTTGCTCTTTGTTTCATGCAAGTAATCTTACTGTCTTTTTCTTGCTTCTTCTTCCATGCCTTCTTTTACCAGCCCCACTTTCTCACTCTTTCTTTAAGAGAGAGAGAGAGAGAGAGAGAGACTCTTCCCACCAAAAATATGTTTTTCCTACTTAGCTTTCCTATCGCCCTTCCTCTTACCTCTCTTGCCACCTTCCCATCTGTGTGATGGCATCCGCAGCTTTTCCCAGCTGTGCCTCATGCAAGGCCCGTCTGCCATCAACAAACAGACATTCCATGTGTGTACTCTGCCTCTGTGAGGAGCACATAGCTGAGACCTGGTGAAAAGGCTGCTGCATGGCATCAGAAAACAAGGAAGCACCCCATTACCAAGGCTGCATAGATATTTGCTTGCTTCCCCCTGCAATTTCATGGGCATCCCCGAAGCATTAGCCAAAGTGGGGCAATTCACAGCCAATCAAGTGAGCAAATCCATTAGGCTCAGCCTTAATTAAAAGCCACTGTAGCTTTATAAATGCCTCCTGTTACTCCTCAGTGACCTTCAATAAAACAGTGTTTGACAATTGTCTAGGAATCTCCTTGCATTAATGCATCAGGGCCTTCATGGGCAGTTGCATAGCAAAGACTCTCTGATTGTGGACTGCAGCTACCACACCAGTTCCTTCTTTCTAACTCAACCAAAGACATACATACATTCAGCAGCTAGAGCTTAGATTCTGGCCTGAAGGAAGTTTTCACTGTGGAATATTAATCTTTTAATACCCTTATCTAGTCCTGCCCTCTTGCTACACTGGTGCCCACGGAACGTTTTTGTAGGTCAAATAGTAATACTGCTGATTCACATGAGGGTCCTGCAGGTAAACTACCCAGCTTGTTACATTCTACAGGTATCGTTGCCACCCTATGAAACACCCCTTCTGAATTCTACAGAGTTTTAAACTTTTTTTTTCACTTCTCCCTTTCCCCCATCTCTTCTTTCTTTGGAGGCTGGAATGCATGGAAAGTGATAGGAGGGTTCTTTCCAGGAGGGAAAAGACAAGCAGATTATTCTTAACCCTTCCCACATCCATGGTATGATTCAGTAGTCCTGTCCAAACAGATTTTTTCTATCTGAGCTTACAAATATGTACAAGGTTTTGTGCAAACATGATATGCAAATACACACATTCTGTGATTTCAGAAATAATAAGAAATACTCTGGAATAAAACTTAGGTAACTTTCTTCATCTTTACTCAACTTCCCATATGCTGGGAGTTACCACAAGTTACAACTGCTGCCCCAGACATTTCTTCCCTTGCAAGAATACCTCTAGAGAAACTTCCAGTTGGTGAAGGGAAGGCATGAAGGGAAAATGTTAAATTTCCCCTCTACACTGAAAGTGATGCATTTCCCACCATTCCATTCTGGAAAAGCAGCCATCAAAATGTTCAGCTTTGTGTTTCCCATCAAACTTCAAGATTAATTTTTGAAAATTCTGTGTTTCATCACTAACTCCACATTTTCTCTTCCACTAGCACCAGTTTTTGTTCATTTCTTCTGCAGGTATTTCCTCGCAGTACTTTCCTTTTCCATCCACTGATACTCATGTTAAGGTTCATTTAAAAGGAGAAGATATCTAACTCCTGGATTTTTTGTTTGTTTTTGGTTTTGTTTTGTTTCTAATTACCAGGTACCTGTAGAAATTACAAAGGAATTGGGTGTCACCTTTTCTGTGTTTGGTATATTCAAATGAGTTTGTATCTTTGGTGCTAACATTCAGATAAAAAATTCAGCCTGCCTAGCGCGTCTCTAGCATTGTTGATGCCCTGTCTGCAATCTAATTACTTAGCTCTGCTTTGTGAAATCTCTGGAATCTTTCAGCTAGCCTTCAAAAATAAGATACTTGCTGGGCTTTGCGAGGAGAGTGTGTCCCAGTGGCACTCCCCATTTACCAGTATCCTTTTTGTTACGGCAGCTGTACAAGCAAGTCTTTGTCAGCCTGAAAACTCCCAGCATTCCCTTCTGATGGCATGCCTGGTTAAGGGCAAGGGTAGCAGTGGCATCAAAGTTTATGCCAATGTTTACTGGTGATAAAACCCATATGAAATCAGGCTGTTAAAATGCAAATACACTGATTAACCATATGGAAAGAAGTTATCAAGCATTCCCTGGCAAGACAGCCTGCCATCCAGATTTTCCTTCTGCCTAGCGCTGTGCACTGGAGACAAAATGCTGTGAATCTGCTTTGATAAATTGTACACCTAGACTCATACGTAAAGATATTCAAGGTCAGATTTCACTGTGGGGGAAAAAATAAACCAAGGGGAGAAAAGTAACTAGTTCTACAGGGCTGTGGTAATGATATGCCAGAGCAAACAACAACATTTTAAACTAGAAGTGACATTCTCATTGATCAAGGTATCTCGTGGACTATTACAATAAATGGCTGTCTAATTCCTGTGTGTTCAGGTAGTAGCAGTCACTGTCCAAGGAGTCCCAGAGAGTGTGCAGCCACCAACAGTTACAGCGTTGAGCACAAAGGCATTGCATCTGAGTTGGATGGCACCAAGGAAACCAAATGGTATCATCAGAGAATACCAGATCAGTCAAACTGGGAAAGGTCTTATACATTCTGACATAGCAGGCAGAATGCAGCATACAGTATCAGGTAAGGACAGGAAGTTCTTCAACAGCTTGTTGTTGCTGTCTAAGATAGCAGGCAGTCCTCCTGTGCTAGTTTTTAAAGGCTGCAGTCCTAAGCCGTCTTCCTGCCCAGTCATTCTGGGGACATGCTCTATTTTTTCAAGCAGGGAATTGGGGTGTGTGTGTTTATGGGGGTGGGCATTTAAAAGCTGGATTCTCCAACCTGCAGTTTAGAGTAGTAAAGTCCATTCTTCCATCTCATGACTCCCCATGACATTTACCTGCATTTGCTGACCAGGGGACACTTAAACTCGAGTGTAACTTTCAGCAACATTTACATTTCACCCACTCACTCATGAAGTGCTTTGCTTTTCTCCATCTACTTTTAGTGTCCTAGATAGGGAATGTGTATTATGCTATACCTTAGAGAAAGTTCAGGTGGCATTGATTTTGATACAGCTTGTTTTTCCTGTTCTTTCATCCCACTGACTTCAAATGTACAGGAATAGCTGGGCACAAGATTCCAGACATCATGTCTACATTTGAGAATGTCAGCACTGAGGGGATTTTCTAACCCACTGGCTTTCTTGATGCTATTTTTATAAGTAGTGGTTAAGAGCATGGGACTGGGACTCAGACGATCTGGGTTCTAGTCCCCGCTCAGCCATGGAGCCAACTGGGTGACTTTGGGCCAGTCACAGACTCTCAGCCCAACCTACCTCACAGGGTTGTTGTTGCGGGGATAAGATGAAGGAGGAGAATGATGTAAGCTGCCTTGATCCCTTTGTAGGAAAAAGGCAGGATATAAATCGAAAAATAAATAAATAAATTTTAAGTTGTAATGTCTATCCTTAACAATAATATTATTATATTATTAATATAATAATCCTTAATACTGCTGTATTCAGAAGCTTGTAATCACTTTGAGCATGTGTCTTTAACAGTATTGTGCCTTTCTCAATAACTCATTGGTGATCTCCAAAATTCAGCCCAGGCAATAGGTGGCTTGTGTAATGGCAAAAACACTTGGAACAGAATACTTCCCTTTCTTCCTAATTTAGATTATCTCCTTTTACTAGTATTACTACATTTGCAATAAGCTTCTGTTGACATGGCAATGCTCATCTAGCATAGGAAAAATGGATTATTCAGTTTTACCATATATAATTAACATAGTAAAAAAGCCAAACCCTGCCATCTCAGCCCAAAGGTTCATAGTCTGGTGTCCGGTTCCCAGACAGAAGCTCTTGTGATCCACACGGGAAGCAAACCCCTTCACTGTCTGAGAATGCAATCCCCCTTTGTCCCAAGGTAGAACTGCATTTTTTGCCATGTCAAAACAATCAGTGAATATGTGTTACTTTCTGTGGTTTTAGGTAAAACAGCTCTACACTTTCAATGCTATTTTTGGTATGTAGCAAGGTGTTCCCCCTGCGCTTGAAGGCAAGGCTGCTTTTCCATCCCAAGATGGAATAGTGCTTTTTCAGTGTGATAATTACTACTTCCTAAATTCATGATGTTCACTGAAACAACAGTACGTATTTCAGATTTCTCAAATGTTTGAACTAACCATCATTTCAGGTCCCTGCAGACCTCTGTTTTGATTTTCTCGTCTTCTTCAGAAACCACTGCTGTTCCCAAAGCAACAGTTGAACATTAATGAAGCTGTAGCATTAGCGTTCCCTGAGACTTTGAATCCGAGGGCCTTAGCAACTGCAGACGAGGAGGTTTGCACCTTGCCACTGCACCATTGTCTCGCTGCTTATTTTTAATTACATCAAAGCTTTAGAAACATGATCCCATAAATGCTTTGTGGGAATAGCGGTGAATGTGCTCGTCATGTGAAATCCATAAATTGCTTATAATCCTCTCAAGATGTTAAAAAAAGCATTAAGTAATTGAAGACAGGAAGTCCTCAGTTAATTATTTAGAGGTGTTATCAATGCTTTAAGTAAACTGAAGCATTTTCTGCTATCGCAATGAGTTGAATGCCACTGGGATCGAGGGGCACCAGCCATCATCTTCTCATATTCTCTAATGCAAACAGCATATGGCAGCTTGTCAATAAAAGACCTTTTTATATCATTTATTAGTGAACACTTCCAGTACTCTGTACAGAACAATTTGGATGACAGTTATGGCATTGTTTCACTTTGTGTTACTACTCCTTCACAAATGGTCCTGTTAATGCAGTGGGGGATGGGGGAGAACAAAATAATTAGGGGGCATTGTATTAAAAGAAAGCTAAGACTGCCCTCTTCAGCAACAAGAGCAAGAACAGGAATCCATTTTCCTAAGTCTATTTCTGTTTCTAAGGAGTTTCCAGAATAATGGAATCTGAGATAAGGTTTTGTGGCTATTTTAACTTCGTTAATGACATTGGCATATCTTTCACTGAACAGATTATGTATAGGTTTACATGTCACAATAAGACATCCTACAAAGAAACTACAATGGCTTGGGGTGGACATAAGAGATGATTGGGTTCCCCTTCTGTCCTTGCAGAACTCTAGCTCCCCTCACTGTGCATGTTTGTGCGGAAGAACCCACCTTGTCTCTTCTGATATCTGCCCCTTTTTATTCACTGCCATTTCTTTTCCAGATCACAAAAAGTACCATTGGTGGTGCTTCTTTTTTTCTGGACCCCTCAAACCCTTGATAAAATTGCCCTGCTGCATTCTAACAAGTCAGGAATCCATTGCACATTGAATAATCCCTAGAACAAGCCCCAGGGCAATTTGTGAAAAATAAGCAATCTTGCAGAAATCATGTTGGACTGAAAATTGTGCAGCTGTGTTGTTGTTGTTGGCACTTTTTGTCTTTTGCAAGTATACTCTTATGGCTGTTCCATATGTATATGGAATCCTGGTAAATTGCCTTGTCTATTTCAAATATCAAAGAGGGTAGCAAATTAGAATAAGGAAATTGGCAAGAAGACACCTCATATAGGGTAATTCGTGCATGGTTGTCAGGGAACAATGGCCAAGTTGGCAACTGAAAAGCACCAATAGATGAGTGGAAGTGGCAAAAGAAGGTGCACTAAAAATGGAGGGAGAGAACAGTTTCTCCCCTTTAGCAATGTAATCCTTCAATTTTAGGTGCTGAACTGACCTTTCTTGGTACCCTTTACCTTTCCTCCAAGTCTCCAGCTACTCCAGAAATGGAAGATCTTAATTCACCCACCCACATCTTCAAAGCTCATTGTCCGAAAACTAGCTTCTCTGGTTACTGCAGTTGCCAGACAGTTCTGAAAAAGAGAAATATAGACAGATATGCAAATATAAGGGATGCAACGTAGAGGAGGAGGAAATTTGGGGCAATTTAAGGGCTGAGAAATGAATGGAGTGGAAATTTGTGTACCTACAGTAACTGCTCTGAGAAGTGTGGGGGGAGTTAATATCTCCATTTCTGAAGTAGCTGCAGACTCAGTGAAGTGTTGAAAAGGAGGGCACTGAGAAATGTCAGTTCAGCACTTACCATCAAAAGGATGACATTGCCAAGGGGGTGATGATGTCCCCACCCCTTTCAGTGCAGATGTGTGTGCTCAGTGGTTTCATGTAGAAACTGAATAGCATCAGGGACAAAACTTAGAAGGATACCATAGTCAATGGTATCAAAAGGTGCTGAGAAATCAAGTTGAATCAGCAAGGTCACATTCCCCCTTTCCTTCTCCTGACATAAATAATCATACAGAGCAACCAAAGCTGTTCCTGTATCTGAACACTGATAGAAATAGATCCAGTTGATCTGCCTCATCTAAGACTTTTTAGAAGTGGTTGATAAATATGCACTCAAACACCTTGCCAGGGGAAGGAATAGTTGCTGCCGGCCTAAAATTTAGGATTGTCTGAGTCCTCAGAGAGTTGATCTCTTTTAGCCCCTCTTGGAAAGATGCATTGATTACATCCCTGGTCCCTCCATGACAGTATTGATAAAATAAGATCCCAAACCAGAAGTGGTTGCATAAACCTGTTCAAGCCCCTTGTCAACAGTTTTGAGCTGTACCAACTGATATATCCAAGAAAACTGGACAAGGCTCTGCTCCATATACCTCACCTGATTGACCTGCTGTAATACTGGAAACTAAGTCTAGGCAGTTGCAAGAAAAATACTTTTGGAGTTGCCTAGGAAATGTCATAATGTGAGCCTCAGGTAGTTCAACAGCACTCTTGGAGCCAGAATATGCCAGGGTAGTACCAAATAAATGTGAAAAGCTCTGCTGGTCACCATGTGGAGGATTCAGTAGAGGCAGCCAGATATTATTCCTTTACTGCTCCCAGTGCTCCTGAATATCCATGTCCATGAGCATATATCAGTGTTCCACTTATTTTATATTGTTAAGTTGTTTTATATTGTTAATTTATAGTATTTTAATGGATTTATTTGTAAGCTGCCCGAGGCTTTGGCGAATGGGGCGGCATAGAAATTTTCTAAATAAATAAATAAATAAAATCCCATTCACTAGGAGTTTTTCTCTATCATTATTATGCTTATTATTACCACCACCATCATCATTTTACCAGGTGAAGCAGCTTGCCGTATATGATATGTGGTTCCGAGGAAACAAAGGAAATGATTTTTATTATGTGCCATCACGTCATCTCTGTTTTAGGGTGATTCCATGAATAGATGCCCTCTAGAAAGTCCAGTTCTTAACAGTCCTGTTCAGCTCTTGTAAAGAAAGGATGATTTTGATCCATTAATTTCCTGTCTCTCAATTTAACCCACCTTAGGAAATTGTTGTGAAGATACACTACAAGCTCCCTTCTCTACCATGGAGAAGTGACCTGCTTCAGGCAATGATCGAGGGATGCCAGAACTAGCAATGTTGTTTTAAAGGGCTGGCCATGGAGGACAGGACAGCACTGCCAGTTGGTCTCTGGTATCCCAAGCAACATGGATGCAGAACAGGATAACAACTTGCAAAACAAATATATAGTTGCATGCCAATGATTGTGGTATTATGCACAATCATTCATGTCCCATTTTGCTCAAAAAGAAAATGACTGAAGATAACTCAGTATAGGCAGAGTTGTTTGATCTGTTAGTGTTTTTTTGGATAAAGTGAAATTCTATATGGATTAACCTCTGAGAAATCTTGAGGGAAGACTTTCCAGAAGGCTTAAAAAAATTATCAGGCCTGTTCTGTGCTTCTCCAGCTACAGCCACCTCCCTAATGCAATCATAAAGATTTGTCCTGGAGTAAACTGTCTGGTTATTTTCAAGGAAAGCTACAAAATGTTAGAAAAGACTACTGCAATTTAGCAGGAAAGTTCCCATAGCCCAAATTAAAGCGTTGTGTTTATTATAGATCACAAAAATACACTGCTTTGTATGATAAAACACATGTGTAGGGAGGGCTCCAAAGCTATGCTTCTATTATAGTATCAACTGAATAGAAAACAATAAATGAATACTTCCAGTATATTTATTGCAGTGTAAACTCTTCTGTTCCCTGTCTATTTTTCTCTATATATTATATATATAATATGATAATATAATATTATATAATATATATTATTCTATCTTTATTTTGTGTGTGTGTGTGTGTGTGTGTGTGAATTATGCTTCATATTTCACTCACAAGGAGATGAACATGACTACCTCTAGGGGAATTAAAATAAAGTTTCCTATCATGAAATGCTGTTAATATTTGGCTCCTATCCATGCCTTTGCTTCTCTAGCCTGCAGCTGCCATTGTAACCCTCTTGTTTTGATGTCAAGTATGCAGAGATCTCTTTCTCCATTTTATGTCTCTCTGCCTCATCTTTTTCAATGCCTTATATCCTGTTCAGCTTGGTTTGGGTGCCGGTTTTCCTGTCTGATGGGCCAGTTACCCACTGCATGACCGTTTTGAAAACAACATCATCAACAACGTAGCTGTCATTCAACCAATTTTAGACAAAGTGCTCAACTCTTAAGATTCTCTCTCTCTTCTTGTCATAGAATTGCATTGTTTTACTTAAAGTAGTTACAATGCTAGTTTAATGAAAACATTTTGCCAAGGATCAGCGAGCAGAAATATGAAGAGCAGGGCCCATCACTGACAAGGACAAGGAAGATTTAAAGAAAAATACAAATGTGAACAGAAGTCTAATCACAGTTTCTGAACTCACACAAAAGCGAATCTTGTGTCTCTTCCTTCCTTGTTGCTGCTTTTTGAGACTTGTGTATTAGAGTGAATACATATTTACATATTTATAAACACATTTTCAAAGGTTGAATCTTGAATAACTCTGTGTTAGAGAATGCAGAGAAAGTTAAAGGTGGATCCATAGGAGGTAATTGTAAATTAAGATATAGAAATAGATGGCTTGTAAAACTGATATTGACTAGAAAAGATATTGTATTTTGGAATGGATTCTATACATGTTTAATAAATACAACAGGTGCTGTTCAAAATCCTTTTAGAACTCTGAACCCAAAAATTCCTGCATATGTGTCTTTATGCAATGGCAAATTATAACTAACATATGGAATTAACTGCCAGAAATATGTGGTAATAACCATTGGCTTGATTTTAAAGGAGGACTTGAAAAAACATGAAAGAAATACATTTATACGCATGGATGTTCTTGCTCATTCACAAGAAATGTATTCTCTTGTCTTTCTTCTAGAACACTAACCTTCAGGACATCTGAAGACTTAATTTTAACCTTTTTGCTTTTTATTTAGGTCTGCAGCCATACAGAAACTACAGCTTTAGCCTTGCAGCATGTACATTTGCTGGATGCACTTCTAGTCAAACAAGTTCAGGTAGAACATTGCAAGCTGCTCCTTTAGGTAAGCAGAAACATATTAATTTTTGTGGTGCTTGCATCCTTATGCAAGAAGTGAATCTAGTCTGTCAGTATTCTAGGCATTTGTATTTCTAGTTAGATGTGCCCAATATGAATAGGACAAATTACTAGTTTGCTTTTGCCAAGACATTGTATGGTCTCCTTTATACCCATACATGCATCTACAACTCTGACATACTATTCTCCCATCAGATTTTGAAATTATACGAAGTGTCTAATAGTGAAAACACAATGAGTCTTGCAGTTCCTTTGCTACCATTTCCAATTGCTGTACAGGTTTTGGTTGATACATATTTCAGAGAATAGTTTTCACACACACTATTTTTCTGTACCATGCACTGAAATTAGGAGATGAGCCCTGTCTTTCACAACTGACCCTTTCTGAGGCAAAATCATTTCTTGTTTCCTTCTGTTTTTTACTATAGTTTCAAATATAGAACCTGTCTAAAACCAGGGTATTTACTCTAAAAATAAATACATGTAGTTCCAGTTGGTGAGTCACCTTAATGTGATGGTACTTCCTTACGCTGAGTCATGTTAAACTGTGGCATGTTGAGATATGTCCTGAACTAGACATGGCTGCATCCATTCATTCTGTCCAGTTCTATAAGATGTGGTACTGGACTGATGAGGGCCAATAAAGCAAAGGAAAATTCAGAAGTTCTGTTAGTGGACACATCATCTACTCAGATTAGTCTTTTGGGTGGATAGGTTTACCCATATTTAAAAAGGACAAGTTCAGTGTTGTCACTGGGGATGCAAGTTGCCTCCATGACACAGAGCACCACCAACCACCTTCACTAGACAGAGAGAGCCTGCCTTGCTTGATCTGTGCCTTCACAATCCCCATATTGTGGGGACTCCAGTACTGTATTATACACAGGGTTGCCCAGAAACCACAATTAGCCCAAAATACAACTTTGGGACTGTTCACTGTGACTGGCATTATGAATCCACGACACATGTGTGTTGCCAACTAGACTGATCCTAGTTTCCAGGCTCTATCCAAGGTGTTGGGATTGTCTTCAAAGCCCTTTGTGGTTTAGGAGTGTGATATAATTGTCATCTTATATACTGGGACCCCATGCATACAACCTTGTAAAGACGTAGCTAGCGGCTACAGCTTTTTTTTTTTTTTCTAAACTCTAAGTGCAGTTTCCCCAGTCCAGATCAGAACTGCCTTCCCTCCTCATTACAATACCACTCTGGATGTGGATCATCAGTTATTTACATTCTGTATTGCCATACAGGGATTCATTAAAGCAAATGGGTTATTATTTGGCAATACATTGGCCTATTGGCCCAAAGATCTTCAAAATGTGCCCATCGGATGCACAGATGTCTGGGGTGTGACAAGAGGTTGCAAAAGGAAAAACCTTCTTTGGTTCTGGCACTTGATTGTAGAATCTTCTTCTCACCCATTGCCTACCTGAGGTCATGCTTATTTTCCATGACTTCTAATGATCAATATTACACTGGTGTATTGCCATTATGCAGAACAGTGTTTTTGCTTAATTCTTTTGACTGCTTTTATATTGTGGGGCTTTAATATTTTGTTTTAACTTGTTTTAATGAACCTTTAACTTTTATTAGCCACCTTCTGAGGATCTGTTGAGGGTGGGATGTACTCCAGATAAATAAATAGATACAAATATATAACACTGTTTTATGTCACAGTGAGCCTTCAGATCGAGCTGAAAGTATTTTTGGTTAACTGTTGTGTGTTAACAGAGATTTCAATAATAGCCTGTTAATGAAATTAAATAAGTGGGTGATACTCTGCTTTCTCATCAGATTGTATAAGGAACATTTGTGAAGACTATTATTTTGAGTAGCAATTGTATTTAACAAGTGGTGTTGCTGATGAAATTACAGGGGTGTGGTCACAGCCTCGTCATATCATAGTGAGCTCAACTGTCGTGGAATTGTACTGGGATGAACCAGAGGAACCCAATGGAATTATTTCTCAGTATCGATTGCTATGTAATGGAGAAGAGATTTTCAAGGGTGGTAAAGAAAACCAGAACTTCACTCATTCTGACCTTCAACCAAACAGCAGGTAAAATGCCAGAGATGTATAATAACCTTAAGAAGGCATTTCATATAATATATGATGGCTTCCAAAATGTTGGTGCACAATCCATCTGTTGACCCCTGATATTGGTGTCTTGAAACATGCAAACAAATGCTGAATATGTAATAGTCTGTGGCTTGCTGCTAGTTACAATGGAATAGAAATGGATGAATCTATTTGCTCTTCCCCTGCATGTAAAACTTTAAAAACTCAACATCTTTCTGTACTTAATATTCAGAAATGCATGAATTTTGTAAATCCATATCATAAAAGAACTGCCTGAAACAACATTCCTATCCATCCACATCAACCCAATTCAATAGGTATACCATTCCCAGCATGGAAAAGACCATATCGTACTTAATTGATTCATAGCTGGTAAAGATGGTAGGAGCGGCAGAAAAGTGTGGTGGCAACCCTTCAAATGGGAATTGAAACACAAACTAGGAAAAGCTCAAAGCCCTCAACCTATGGAGCAGCAAGGGTGCTAATGGGGACTACAAGGCACATCACCCCAGTCCTCTATCAATTACATAGTTTTCTGATTGAAGTCCAGGCCTGATTTGAAGTGCTAACATTAACAGTTGAAGCCCTAAACAGGTTGAGTATCTGAAGAAACACCTCCTTCTGTATGTGCCTACTCGAATCCTGATATCATCAGTGAAGGTCCTTCACTGAGAGCTCCTCCAAAGGAAGCAAGGCGGGTAGCTACTAGGGGAAGGGCCTTCTTGGTTGCAGCATCCCATCTATGGAATCAGTTTCCCAAAGATATGACACCCATTCCTTGTTTCTAGTCTTTGTCTTGGTGCCAAGTGAAAACCTTTTTATTCTCCCAATATTTTAATAGTTAGATTTCATTCCCATTTTTAAACTGTATTTTATTACTGTACCTCTAAGACTGAGTTAGTCACAGTTGTAGTGGGTGGATCATTGTTTTATTGTATTGGGGGATGGGCAGGATAGAAATATAAATATAGATACATAAGCCTATCTAGATGCATCTGCCAATTTCAGTTTCTGCCACACCAGCTTGCAGGGGAAGAGGAAATCAAAGATTAAGACCTAGATGAGTAAACATCCCAGTATTTATTTATTTAAAACATTTTTATGCCGCCCCCATCGCAATGTCTCAGGGTGATATGGATGGGGAAGCAGTTATGGAACTCAGGGCGGCTATTATATACAAATAAACTGGCTTTTACTGCTCTCTCACATTCGCAACTCACTCGCAACATGGTCTGATAAATTCTTGTTCCTTAGTGAAATCTGTCATGGAATGTATCCTATAGCTCTGTGCTATGAATGTGTGAACTTGTGTAGCTATGTGCCCCCTGAATATTTTTCAGGAATGGTTGGTTCTTGGGAAATTCTAACAGTGAAAGGATAGAACATTTGTTCTTGAAAAGCTGGGCTAGGAAACTTATCACCATTCAGATGTTCTGAACTCCACCTTCCATCATGGTCACCCAGAGAGGTCCGCCTGGCGCCGTCGTTATTTGTTTTTCGGCGCCAGGTGAAGACCTTTTTATTTAAACGTCATTTTAACTGTTAACAATATTCACTTATTCATCTGGCCAGGGCGACTTCTTTCCTTTCCTTTCCTTTCCTTTCCTTTCCTTTCCTTTCCTTTCCTTTTCTTCTTTTCTTTTACAACTTCTTTTATATCGTTTTTATTTATTTATTTATTTATTTTATATTATTAATTTTAATTTTATATTGTTATTTTTGTATTGTATTGTATTGCGTAGTAAGCCGCCCCGAGGCTTCGGCAAGGGACGGCATAGAAATGTTCTAATAATAATAATAATAATAATAATAATAATAATAATAATAATAATAATAGGCTATTCTTAGGACAATGGAAGATGTAGGCCAAAGCATCTGAAGAGCCACAAGTTGCTGACACCTGGTATAAAGAGGCATTTATATAACTGTTTATCCAATACACAAAGAAGAATAGGGCATGTCCAACAGAACATAAAATGAACCTATGCTGCATCAGACCAAAGGTCCATCCGGTCCTGCATTCTGTATGAACAATGGTCAACCAGCTGCCCATAGAAAATCCACTTGTGTTCCACATCACCCTCCTGCCCAAATAACTGGGCAAACTGCCTTTGATCGTGGAGAAAGCCTGCAGACCAGCGCTAGTAGCCTTCTATGCCCACGCGTGCGTGCACACACACACACACACACACACCCCTACCCACACAGATGTTCTCTTAGTGCAGCATCCATTGATTTCCACTGGATTTGAGCATGGATTTCCAGGCTGATTGTACCAGTCATTATAAACTCCAATGTGATTGTGTTTCAGATTAAGTAATAGACCGTATTAAATCTGATAGCAGTAATTTTATTCACTAAGAATTTTTACATATTATTTCTCTGATAGAGCAAGAATTTCTGGAGGTGGAAATGTTTCTGCTGTGCAAAGCGCCCCCACCCTTTCTAAAAAGGTGTGCTTCATGGGGTGGAAGAAAACCACATTCAACACATGTGTGTGGTTCCTGTCAGTGGCATATATAATCAGTGCTGTTAGCTTATCAGCTGTATGGGATGGCTGAGGGAGTAGACTCTGAGTCTAAATACCTGTTCTTCACTTTCAACCAACAGGTTATCAGTAACTACTCTTCAGGTTCCTGGATTAGATTCCCCATACTGCATAAATGTCATATTGCATAAGTATGTGAATGTGAATGTGTGTGTGTGTGTGCACAAGTGCATGTGTGTACCCATACATATAACAAATGCACACACAAATCCAGGTGTATGTATTTTATTTGTATGTGACAGACAATATGGTTTATGACGTGAGTTTATCTTACATACAGCAACTTCTGAAACATAAATATGTTGAAAATAACTTGCAGCTATTTGAACACTGATTTTCTTGTTTCTGATTCTTTTTGCTCTTTTTTCTTTATTGGTGTGTCTTTATAGGTACATTTACCAGCTAGAAGCCAGCACATGGGGTGGCAGCAATATTAGTGACAAATATATTATCCAGACACCAGTAGCAACACCAGAGGAAATTCATATCCCATATAATGTCACAGTAATTGATTCATTCTCCATATTTGTAGCTTGGAACACTCCTGGTAAGCATTTGTATTTGTGTACTGTATAGTAAATTTGGATATATGAAATGTTATCTATCTGCGGCAGTTATCGATTTTGCCCTGTGTTTGGGTTTTTGGTAATTTAGGGAGGTGCTGACCCAGTCATTAGACAGGATGAGCCATCTTGCCTCAGGTGGCAGATTTGGGTGTATCAGGAAAAGGCATTAGCTTATTATAATTTTACATAATGGCAGGAGGGGAGCACCATTTGGATTTTTAGCCTCAGGCACCAAAATGTCTAGGGCCATCTCTAGTTGATGATAAAATAATTAGTGAAATAATTAAGCAACAGAACAGGCTGTGTTCTTTTCACATGGAAAAGATGACAATATGCCAAATTGTGCTTTTTTATTTAATGGTGGGCCTCCACTTATACTAGCATTTTTCTATACCTTATGTCCAATTAATATATTAATTAAAGCTAGCTTTGGAACAAGATGCTACAATTAGTGGTAGTTGGGCTTTTAATACTTGCTCTTTGTTTTCCCCTTTCTGCTAATTTTCTGATAAATTCAGTCAGTTTGGAAGCTGGCAACTCTTCCAAAAGGCAGTACTGACAAGCTCTACCAGTAAGGACCCCAGTTTCTAGTAGGTGGTGAGCATATATGCCAATCAACTAAATTTACAGGTAGTAGTCTCCATTTTGACCGGAATTTCTAGAAACCTATGGGTAGTGTAAATTGAGTCTTCTATATCGACTGAACTTTCTATACTGTTTGTGACTCTAGGCCACAAGTGCTGCAAAATATGAGCAACTGTAAATATTAAAAGTTTGCAACTCTTGTTTCAGACAGAAATTGAGGTCTCTGTCTAAAACTGTTATTTAATTAATGACATTGATTTATTGCAGAGTGCTTCACTGTTGTTAACCTAGATTTTTTTTTTTTAAATTCTAACTTCTAAACGCTAGAAAAATATTCAGGGGTATTGATCTATATGGCAGAAGAATTAATTATCATGCGTTTTTTCTTCCTAATTATTTAAAACATTTTCACCTTGGAAAAGAGAAAGAGGGTGATAATAGGATATAAAAACAGTAAATATAAAGTTACCTGGTAAACGTTTGCACTCATGCTTAGAATAGTAAATATTCCAGTGTTGCCCATTGAACCAATGGTTAATAGATCTATAATATCCTGAGCTGTCAATCTTTTAGTTTCCAGAAGCACAAAATCCATTATAGAAATGCTATAATATATGAAAAAGATTAAAATCTTAAATTAAATTCCCCTTCCCCCGCCCCCTCTACTGCCTAGAAGGATTTAGAACCCAGAAAGAAGGCAGATGAATTTGACTTATAATCTACAGTTGATTTCATTGGAAAGTGTCTCATACTGTCTCAGTTTTGATAATAAATTTCAATGAAAGCTTTGAATATTCACTATTATAAATACATTTTTGTGACCTTCTCACAGCCCAAATTAGACATGGCTAAACTGATTGATCCTGCGCCTAACTCTGCATAGGGTCAGGCTGTTAAACACATGCAAAACTTAAAAGCCAAAATGGGAAATTTAATTATGTTTCATTGGAAAACAGACCTCTCTGTGTTCTCCCATTTCCCCCCCTCCATCTGTTTTACTTACATGCATATATAAAAGATTTAAAGATACAGATTAATTACAATGAATCTACAGACCTAGAAGGACCGTACACCTGTTGTCACAGGAACAACTTGGAGACAAACAACTAGCCATTATTTATGGACTTCCAGCAACATCTTCCTTGTCATTGCTGGGCACAGATTCATTGACTAGATGGACCTTAGCTTGATTCAGGGAATCAATTCTCTATTCACAGATGCTATTAATATTTGAAAAAGTACTTGAACATCTTTTACAGAAAAATGTTTGTGTGCTAACCACATTGGTGGTACATGCATTTTTGAGCGTTGGGGGAGGAAAACAACTCTTGCACAGAAAATAAAGATAAGAGCAAGGGCAGCATGGTTCACTTGCAAATCTGGTAGCGAAAGGGAATGGAGATAATATAGACCTTATATACCAGCAGACATTCTGTACTAATCCCATATTAATCAATCTGTTAATCACAAAGGTAGTATACAATAATACTCTGTTTATTTCTTCTATTATGTTTTTGTCTTTGGATGAAATTGTTTTATTGTTGTTTCAATCATTTTATTTATGATACTAAGCTGTCATGATACTAAGCTGCCATTTCTCTTGGTAGAAAAGCAGGGTAAAAATCAAATCTACCAATAAAACCATGGTGTAACTGAAAACACATGTCATAAAGCCCATTCTTTACTTTTGTCTTAACAATTTAAAAATGAACTTTGGATGTTTTTACTTACACTTAAAAACTATAAAATAAACTTGGTGTTTACTTAATTGTGTTGTGGACAGAAAAAAAGAACCGGGTTTCTGCTGTGGGGTGTACAGAGTCATCCAAAAGCAGAGGTTATGTATTTTACATTGACTTCAAAAAAAACTTACAGAATACGTCTTATTAACATAAGATCATATACTGCTTACACCATGTGTAATTTACAAAGCCTATAGATATTTCCAATAATCTGAGCATTATTTTTAAAAATCATTTATCTGTTTCTTTTAATTAAAATTTGGGATGCAACGTTTTTGATACTGTGAAACACTTCTACTATACCTTGCTTAAATTTGCCACTCTCAGTTGCCTATTGGATTGGGTATAAAGTGAATTCTGCATCTCCCATGGAAGCAGATGAGTTAGCTCAGCACACAGACTACACACTTTTCCTATTCATCTATTTCATGAAACATCAAACAATGGGCATGTGAGTTAATTATTGCATGCCTGTTTTTATTCCTACAAATACTTACTGTCCAGCTGCTTCTTCCATAGCTAACAATTCTAAATGGAACAGAAGCACTATGAATGACTAGGTTTCTCTCTTGTTCCTAGTCATGAAGAGGTTGCATAGTATTTGATGAGAAAGGAGGAGTTTATTGACTGCAGTAGGGTGTGTGTTTCTGCAGAAGACCAACAATGGTAGGCTAACTACGGTGAAAGCAGGGCTGAGTTAACCAAGGAAACAGAACGGGGTGTATGGGATGAACCTAGGGATGTGGCAGAAGGGAGAGATAAACTAAGACATTTTGTTTCTTAAAAATCTTGACATGATAAAGCACTTTTAGAAATGCCCTTAAGAAGGTGGAGATGTTGTTTCACTATGTCCTTGTTAAGAGAGTCTTTCAAGGGCTAAAATTGAAAGGGAAATTCTACCCATTAAAATGATGCCTGAGGAAAATGGCTAAGAATGCAACTGGAGGTCATTGTGATAGGGATAGGCAGTGATGAGGCCTACAGATGCTGCTTCCTACTTACAGAATGAGCGATGAAGCTAAATATCCCCAAGGAAGTACTCATGGCAGGTTTTGTAGTTCTACTTTTATTTTCCTTTAGAATTTGCTTTTTCATGAATGACTCATCAGTTATGTATTCAAAACATCATATTGAATCACCATATTTCTCTCTTTTACATTCAAAGGTCAACCTTTATAATAAGGGTTGGCAGTGATTCTCCCATTGAGACAGTCTTTTTAATTGATATTCTCCAGGAATAAAATGACTTTTTATTAATCAAGTTTTGATGAGAGGCGAGCTGGCCACAGTATCTTCCTGTGTATGGAAAGAGACTGCATTTTGGCATTCGATCCCTCTATCTCCTATAATAAAATTTGGATCACGTAAGGCCCCATAGGATTAATTATGGGCTACCCTATCCATGGAGTCTCCTTTCATTTTAATTATGACGTTTCAACAGCAGTGATGTCTCCAAATTCTATAACTTTATAGACATAATTCAAAACTCCTATCTTAGCTAAATGGCAAGATATCCAAGCAGTGGTTAAAATGATTAAGGGATGGGGGTGGAGATGCTTGGGGACACTTCACTTGCTAGGGAAAATAGAACTTTAATTTCTGAAAGAGCAATAGTTGGTTAATTTAGTTGCTGTGAGCATTTTATTTGCAAGGGCTAGGATCACTAGGGCAGGGAATCAGTTTAACATCCATGCCAATTATATCCCAGAATACATTTCTTTGTTATCCCAGTGCACATAAAACTTTGCCATTGACAATCACTCCTATGGGAATTGTTGGAGAAAAGGGCTTTAGAACTGCCTTAGTCCTCTGGGTAGATGACTTGTGCCAGGAGACCCCACTTTGCACTTCCAGAGCTACAGCCCATTCTTTAGCAAAAGCTCTTTGTTCTCCAGTGCATTTCCAGAATGCACAACCAACCAAAAATGAGTCTTTGAACATGCACAGATCAGCGAACCCAGTCTAGCAACTGCTTCCAAGAACCCTCCTTGTGAGGGTTTTCCCTCTGGCAGGGCCCTTTTGGAGATGTACAGGCCTCTTCTCTGCCCGTTGCCCCTCTTGCTGGTTGGCCTGCCTCTCTTGATGTCGTGTCATGGGGTCAAGAGTCATGCCAGGCTCAGGTGGCTACAGGATTTCTTCTCTCTTCCGTACCATTTTAAATCCTGGCTATTTCCAGTGTCTGCCTGAACAACGCTGGGAGGGTGCCCTTGCGATAAGCCCCTTTGCTTCTTCCATTTCAGTGTCAGAGAATTCTGGTTCCCAGGATCCCATTTGATGAATCTGAATCTGCCTGACCTTGGAAAGCACACCAAGAATACTTGTCCCTTTCATTCCCAACAAGAATAAAACTAGACTACTCATTATGAGGTTTGAATTTGGGGTATATTTCAAGCAAAATAAATAGCTTTTCACCAATCGATATCAATAGTGCCTTTAATCACGAACAAAGCATTTTTTCAAAATTATCTTTCTTACACATTTCCTTATGAAATGCCCTTAGTTATGAAGTTTCTTTTATTTTTTCACAAAATTTCACATATTTTTCCCACAGTGTCCATTATTCATTGTCCACATTCAAAGGGAAAGGGGGGAGGGGAAACCCAAAGATGCTGTTTGATTGACTTGTCCTGCTTCAAAATATGCACCTGCTGCCAAATGAAGTCATGGAAGAAAAAAGTGGAATAATTTAACTTTTTTATTTGTAAAGATAATCAGGGTTTTCTGATTACATCTTAACTTCATAAATGTTAAATAACCTATCAGCATCTAGTTGTTGTAAATTATGAAAAGGAGTATTGCTGGGAATATTAACCAACTAAATCCTTGTTCTTTAGTGAACACGAAAATGCGTTATGGCAGGTTGTCACTGTGCTCACGGTAACTTTGACACCAAATAACAAAACTGCCATTTGCACTTAGGGTAAATTGGTTCACTTGTGCTTTTACTGTTCCTTTTATTCTGACATAAATTTATGAACTCTGGAACTAACCAAGTCGTGTGGTTTCCCAGCTGACTTTAACAAATCTGCCCATTTCATTCCATTCACTCATCAAAATATCAATGCTGTCGTAGTTTTAGTCTTGCTCCAGATATTTTCAAACACGGAAGCTTTTCTGGCCACCACCTTTTCATTTTCTGTGAACATTTGCTTTTCTCGTTTTCAAAGGTATGAACTTATAGGGGAAATATTTACATGCAAAAAAGGGCAAAGTATGCTGATATAAATGGCATTTTTCAGGAAGTGTATTGTTTTGACTTTTTTCTTGGTTATAATATTGAGTGTTCTTTCTGAGAAGATTAAACCAAGACAACTTTTACACATGTACTTCTTAGTCTGCCCTTGGCACTTGTTTCATCTGAAGCAAAAAGTCCAAACAAGACCCCTCTGTCACTTTTGCTTGACATGCAAAAAGAGGCCTGAGACAACACCATGGCAACACCAGTGCTGGAATCTGCTGTCCAAACCAACTGCTTTCCCTTATTTCATAGTAAGGCTGCCCCTACAAGTGTAATATAGCCCATTAAATTCTGAATCTATGCTTGGTGAGGAAGCCTTATCTGTGGCTTTGGGCCAGTCATCCTCTCTCGGTTCTCCATTTGATGCATAATCTTGTTGTGAGGCTTAAAGATTAAAACCACCTGCATGCTGGTTCCACAAGCTCCTTCAAGGCAGGTCTAAATATACCTGTGGACAAGAAGGCATTCTGGAAGACTATGGAACAGCATGTAAAATTCCACTCCACCTATCCATGTGTTATCTGAAGGTCTGACTAGGGCCTTGATGACATGTCTTTCCTGAGGCTGAAGCAAATGTGTGAAACATCCCCATTGATAATTGTAATGGGTTGTCACTGAGAAATCTTTCTTTGGTGGTTCCTCTCTGGTGGCAGATGGACCAACCTAAGTGATCACTAAGCGCTGAACATGCACACACTAGCTCTGTGACATTGTTACGAAATATGATTTCATCTCCATGCCACAATCTAGTGCTTCAGGGTGCACAGAGTTCTCATTGTCTAACTCAACATACTGTTAGCAGAAGAAACTGCTACATAAATAGATTACTGTTGCTTTGTCCTGTTGCTTAAGCCGTTGCACAATCACCAGTGGTCCACTTGATAGACCTAAGACCTGCAAGTGGTTGGCAACTGATTGTTCAAATGGAACCTTAGCTTTCCATTACTGCAACATCATTTGTGATAGTAGTCTATCCAGTGCTTTCGGATATGACCAGTGGTATGCAGGAGCCACTACATACTTGTTTGAACTTTGAAACAACATTTTCAATCCAATGAATTGTTTATTTTATAACAGGATCATTTAAAACCAACATGCCTTTGAAGTACAACATATTACTAAATTCTGGCAGTACCTCTCCCCTTATAAAATCAGTTGGCCAGCCTAACTTTGCTCTTTTGGACCATCTGGAGCCATACAGCCAGTATGAGATAAGGATACAAGCCTGCCAGGATGGTAAGATGTTAAATAACTCACTTTCGTGATCAGCAGACAGTGCAGTTTTACAAAACGTATTCTGTTCAGCAAAGCAGATAACATCTTATTTTGAAATTGAACTGAAATGTTTACCTAGTAAAAGCAAACCCTGGCACTGAGTGGTGCATTTTACATTTCTTCATATTATATCATGAATATTTTAAAAGAAAATTCAGACCATTATTTGGGCAATGTTAGTCTTTTTTATCAAATTATTATGAAAAACGTAAAACAGAGTGTTAAAAATTGTCCGAGTAGTACATATTGAATAAAATCCATTCTCACATCAGCTTCTCTCTCCTCTCCTCTCCTCTCCTCTCCTCTCCTCTCCCCTCCTCACCAGCTCTATTCTTTCTGATTACAAGGAATATCCAAAATCTAAAGGGATATGCTGAAACTCCACAGAAGTTGTTCTGCATTGTTTTTCTATCCATTTTGTGCCCATCTGTGTCCGTCTGAATCCTAAAAGGGAAAGTGGAAGAACAGAAAATAGTTTATGTATTGCTACAAAGACAAGACTTAATAATTCAAGAGTATAAAATGTACATATGTTAAAATAGCTCAAAGACTGCAAAGACTGTTTGGACATACTTTTTTTTCAGTTTACTAAGCCACACATTCTGCAAGCTTGGGATGTCTGTAGTTTTCTTTCCCGTTTCCTAGCTTTCTTTATTTGTTCACCTGATTAGTTTGAACAATATTTCCTTGTTACACCCACAAACCTGATCCTCTCAACTTTTTCCTAGTTGGCTGTGGAGTTGGTGAACGAACATATGCAAGGACTGCTGAAGCACCCCCTATGCATTTAAGCTCCCCTGTCATTACAGCCACTGGATCAGCATCTATACAGGTGAAATGGTCACCACCTAGGAAGCCCAATGGAATAATCAGGAACTACTTTGTTTACAGGTAGGTCTTACACCTCACTTTTATTTTTTTTTAAATGTTGCTTCTGCAGGATATCTACCATTCAGCTCTAAGAATATTGAATTTCTCTACCTGTGTAGGTTTGCATGATCCTATAGGCCACATGCAAGCCAATGTTGTTTGACTTACAAGATAGTAAACCTTTGGTGAAATATGTGGGAAAAAGGTTTTAACATTTGCACAGGTGTGTGAACTTTCACCATGCAGCTGTGACTTTTGTGCACAGGCAACTGCAAAAGGAGCATTTACATGGCATTTCTTTTAAGCCTTAAGGTGGCACATTAGTAATAAATGCAGGTGGTTGAGAATACTCTTTAGAAATGTGCAGCACTTTATTAGCATAGATCCTGCAATCCAAATAACTGCAAGGTGACTACTGCTTGAACTTGTCTGTCTGTCTGTCTGTCTGTCCTTCATTCATCATGGTCAGAAATACTTTAGTGGGGTAACTTCAAGAGCATGTAACTCAAAACAAAAATCAACAAAATCTGGTTTCCTCCAGTGAGGAGCCAACCTTCATATAACCTGCTTTGGATCCTCCCCTACACCTTGAGAGCCTATAAAACATTTTGGACAAAATTATAGTCTTAATGTGGTTGGATAACTGGGAAAAGAACACTGCCAGTTGTTGGTTGGGCTGGGTTTAAAGCCTCATACAGGGGATAGCTGAGGAATGGGGAAAGTCTTGGCTACCAAGGGCCTGAATTCCCAAAGACAAGAAAGCTGAAGGAAGGGAAAATCAAGAGAAAAAGAAACCTGAAGGGAAAGTATGTGAAGAATGAAATTTCAGAAAAATGACAGCTGAAACGGGTAACTGAAACTTAGAAAGGCGTTCTGAAAAAAACAGTTCAGTGCTTAAGAAATAGATGGGTTGTATGCAGCGGTGGAAGAAAACAAAAAGTGGGACTGCCCAAAAGACAGGGTGAGCAAAGGAAGTAGAACAAAGTAGGGCCTGAAAATCAGGAACCTAGGAAATTAATGTATTTTGGATCTGTGGAGTTAAGGAAAACAGGAGTAAAGGAAAATGTGGAGCAAAACTACACGTACGGTTCAAGAGACAGAAGTGTATAAATGAATGGGGGTAATTTCCTAGTTGCAGTGTATGGCTGTGAAAGCTGGACCATAGGGAAGGCTGAGCACTGAAGAATTGAGGCCTCAGAATTGTGCTGGAGAAGACTTCTGCGAGTCTTTTGGACTGCAAGGCGATCAAACCGGTCAGTCCTAGAGGAGATCAACCCTGACTGCTCTTTAGAAGGCCAGATACTGAAGATGAAACTCAAATACTTTGGCCACCTAATGAGAAGGAAGGACTCCCTG